CATCTGAACTATTAACAAAGCAATAAACTATTCTCGAAATTGTACTTAGGGTTTTGATATACTGTATTAAGTCAAAACAACAATAAATAAGTTAGGTAAAGTCTTAGCTTTAGTGAATCATTTAAAATATACAGTATACAAACATTTAATAAAGCATACATATCTAGCCTGATCTAGGGTTATAAAAAAAATAAAAATAAAAATAAAATAAATATTAAAATATAATAGATTTTATAATTATAGATTTAAAATTTAATAAAATTGAAATTTATCAAACTTTTGAAAGCAACTTTATTTATTTAAAGCCAAATAAAAAATTTTTTTAAACTTAATTATTGTATTAATAATACTTATTACAAATTATAATTATTAATTATTTATTGTATATTAACTTTTTTTACTTTTTTTTAAAAAAAAAATAAATATGTAATAGAATTAAACCATTTTATCGATCCATTTCCTTTTATAATAACGAGATCCAAAAATAGTGTGGGAACGAAACATATGATAGTCTCATGTCGCCTGACTGCGGATTAAAAAAAAAATCAATAAATAAATCGATTTTCCTTTTTAATTCTATTTATTTACATTTTGTTGCAAGACACTAAAAATTCACGATTTGTCTTTGAAGCTTACGTTTTATTATTTCAAAATTCTTAAATTTCCTCAATAATGGAATATCTAAACTTGGAAAAACAACTCGTGTTTTACGGGCAATATCACAATAATAAGATTAATATTCTTATTCATATCGGTACGAAGAAACTCTTTATTAATCGAGCTATCTTTTATTGCTGTTATTATTTGACCAATGTTTGTTTGCAAATGTCTATTCCTTAGTGTGTGTTCCACTCATCATGTGGAGCTTTTTAGTTTTATCAGCAAATTCTGGACCTTTGTTGCCTTATGATTCTGATTCGTGGTGGCACGCAATTCCACTTGTTCCAAATCTTTCGCTGTTCATTGCGCTTCTGTACATCATGTATTACATTCTGTTGGAGCCAGTTGCTGGGGTAAGTTATTTTTTTTTATAATTTATCGCTAATTTTTTGAATTTTGTTACATTCCACGAATTTTCAACTATTTACAAATATTGATTAAATGATTAGAGCCTATATTCTATAATACTCTTATACATGGTATATAATGCCACAAATTTCAATGCTTCGTATCCGAACCACAATACTCTTGCTATCATTGTTCACATCAGTTCATGGATCATGCAAATAGCTGCTCATGGGTTCGCCGAGAAAAGAAGTCCAGCTTTTAAAGATAATATAGTACAGGGTCTGTATTAAAAAAAAAAATTTTTTTTTTTAAAAAAAGTTATTTGTGAAGTTATAATTTTTTACTTCCATTTACAATATTGTGTAGCATTTCTCCTTGCGCCCCTATTTGTATGGCTAGAAGTCCTTTTCGCAGTAGGTTATCGATCAGGACTTCAAAAGAGAGTAAGCTTAGAAGCCGAGCTCGCCATTGCTAAGTTTAAGGAAGAAAAAGGCAAAAAATCCGAATGATTAATTTGTTTAATATAAATTTTTAACAAAAAATATTGATTGTAAAGCATCAACGCTTCTAGTCACCTAACTAATTAAATATTTTTTTAAAATATTCGACAAATTTAGAAATTAGTGTAATGCACCAAGTTCACTTATCGAGTATATAAATATTAATTTGTGCATTTATTGTTATTAATTTTTTATTGGTTACTAAAAATAAAGGAATTTTATTTAAAAATTTATAAACTATTCTTTAAAATTTTTTTTTTTTTTTTACTTTATTAAGTTCCAAATTACATATATGCATTGCACAATGCAAGGATACATGGATATATATTTGGGAATAATAAAGTATATGATAAGCTAAAGCTATCTTAAGGCTTATTGTCCTCTCTTTTATAAAAAATCAGCATCTCATTGAGCATACTGGTGTTATTGAAAATAAAAGAAAATTAAAAATAAAAAATGAATGGTCATATACTATATTAAAGTAATAATTGTCATGTTTTTAGTATATGTTTGTCTTTTTTTTCCAAGTTCCCTATTATAGGAATAATTTGAAAGGAATCTTTTACTAAGTCTTTATGAAAATAAGGTGAAAAACAATGAGAAAGACTTTACAATTTTAAGGCTTGTAAAGAGGAAATAATCAAAAAGATCCAGATAATATATTGGTATCCATATGAGTGACTTAAAAGTTTTTCAATATATTATCAATTAAACTTATTCCTATCTAAATATGAATATACTTATTCATTTATGCAATATATTTCAGATTTAATTCTTTAGAGAAGGATTGTATCTAGCTATACAATTGACATATCTTGCTAATAGTCATTAGTATTAACAATTAATAAGAATCTTTCGGATTATCCAGCTAGTTCACATATTATATTTTATTCTTTAAATAATTAATACTAAACTTGTAAATTATTATAAAATTATAAATTATTTGAATATATCTAATTATTATCTTTTTAATAATAATTTTTTTTTTTTAAATTAATATTTGTTAAAAATTTTATATTTAATAAAGTTTTTAATTAATTTAAATATTAATTTCAAATTTAATTACTTTATTTTATTAATTTAATAATTAAAAAATTATTATTAAATTATTATTAAAAAATCTTATTCTTATTTATATAAATAATATAATATTTTTTTTATTATATATTTAAAATTATATACTGTATATTTTTTATTTAATTTAATTATATTATTTATAGTAAAAACAAAATTAATTTAATTATTAAATTTAAAACTTTATATTAAAAAAATATATATATTTTTTTAATTAATTCATAATTATGTTACAGTAATATATAAATTCTTATTACTAATTCTCTGACAATATACAAAAAAGATATTTATAAGAAGGTTTATATTTTTTAATTAATAAAGTTTTTACACTTTTCTTAAAACAATTTAAAACTTGTCTATAAGAGTCATTATTATCTTTTTCTACTTGTTTATAAACTTCTTTAAATAAAAATTTAATTCTTTAATAATCTAAATAGATTTAAGTAAATATTTACTTTATTAAAGATAAGAAGGTTTTGAAAAATAAAAAAATTAATTTGTGAAGTGTCATCTTTTAAAATTGAAAGTAACATAATAATAAAGATTTTTTAAGCACAAAAAGGCTTATTACACATCTTTCTATATAACTATTTTTTATTCTCTTAAAATGTCTATTGTTTTTTTACAAATTTTTTGATAAATTTTATTAATTCCAGTTTGATTCTAAATTTTTAGTAACACAATATATTTTTGAATTTAATTAGTTAATATAAAATATATTGATAGCAAAATATAAATAATATCACTAATAAATTTTAGCAAAAAAAATTCTTTCCGCAAATCCCTCAGATCCCTAGAAATTTCTTTTTTAGGCAATACACCCAAGGAAAGAAACAACATACATAACTCAAGATATATACTCTCACAATACCAATATATAAGAGACATCTTAGCACAGAACAACACTTCATGCATAGTTTTAGTCTGATGATTACTGAGAAAATACAACATATATCAACAACCTTAACCTTTTTCTCTTTTCTAAGAAGAAGGAAATAAGCCAACATAAACTGATTCACAG